ATCGGGATGGGTGTGTCAGAGGCAATGCAACTGGCACAGGACAGAGCAGGGTTTAGGGCTGTTGTGCATAAGGTCGCTATGAGTCACAAGTGATTCAACGGCACATAACAACTGTTGTACAACGTAGTAGATTTACGATTCATGTTGCTGTGTCTTAAAAATTATACCTTAAAGTTTTAGGGAAGCCGACTGCAGATGATCACTGTATGGACTGTGATGGCAAAATGTTTAGTTACCCTGTCAATGGTTCATTACTATTTAGCAGGGAACAATTGTTTATGTAACATGTTTGAGAAACAGGACGTTTTTCTCACAATGGCTAGACTCTGTAAATCCACTAGCTACTTTTATCACCTTTAGGCAGATTGGTTTTGACAGCAGTGATCCTTGTAGCCCATCATGTGGATTTGAGAGGTGTTTCTCTAAGGACTCACGTGGGAGCTGTGGTGGGGGAGCATGGAGGGAGCTGGTGTGCTGATCTGAGGATGGAGGGAGCTGGTGTGCTGATCTGAGGATGGCACCAGAGTTGGTTCAAATCCACCAGAGGGTCCACAGGAGTGTGATGGGAAGTCTCCTCCTGTGCACTGACGGCCCCAGAGAGAAGATGCAGGATCACCTAGGAGACAGTCTCCTCCCGTGCACTGACGGCCCCAGAGAGAAGATGCAGGGTCACGTAGGAGACAGTTCTTTCTGGGCACCGATGAGCTGAGTTGTTGTGTCAGTAATCAGAAGTAGCATTGCAAACCCAAAGGCTATTTCTCTGGCAGTTATGACCATCTAGTCCTGGACAATTGTACAGGCTTGGAGACAGGCAAGAGGGTCACTGCTCAGGGGATAGCAATGAGGGGCAGACAGAATGAGCAATGACACAGAGCATATATCATGTCAAGTGTTAGCTGACATCAGGCACGTGAGTAAACAATGTGAGTAAACAGTGAGAGACCATGGAGTATATAAAAATGTCAAAAACTGTAGCTTTTTATTGGAGGGGGTGGGGGAAATCCAAATTTGTTGAATTTCATGATGGTTTGTTAGTGTCAGGTTGAGTGACAGACAAACCTTGATATATCCCGGATATGAAACATTTACAATGGCTGTTTTTCCCCGAATACACTCAAGCCTTCCTAAGGCACAATCTGTGAGAATCACTCTTCTGTCCAAGGTTCTGAGTGGTCAGAGAGAGCCAACGGGACTTTCAGTGTGTACTCTACTCCAAGGGAAAGGTACACCTCACAGGCAACGGACAGCAAACTAGGAAACTGTAGCCAGCAGAGACTTCGCAGATGCAGTGATTTTGTGAATACTAGGGGTTCAGGGCATGGCCAAGACACTCATGGATGTTGGACGTACTGTCCACACCTGGTCTGCTGTGACCAGAAACTACAGAAGGCAAAGCAGGACACTGGCACGCTCACCAAGGTTCACCCTGAAAGAGACTGGACAGGAAAATGGTCCACTTGATACTGAACAAAAAAATGGTCCACTTGATTCTGGCAGACAGTAAGAGAAAAGCCATTCACGAAACAAAATCTCTTGCATAAATGAGATCTTTATTTGCTGAATGAAAAACATCAACTACAAACGTGAAAATTTATAAAAAAGCATTCTCCCCAGTCATAAGTTCTGTGGCTGTATTTAACACAGTCAATGACCCTATCATTTTAGGAAAGGAAAATTTCCACTGGGAACTGAGAAAACAGGAACCACGGACTGCAAAACCCCGCATCTAAAATACAATTATCCATTAATGTATCACATGATGCAAAATACATCCAGCTTTCTTTTCACAAGCCCTGAGGGACTCCCACGTGCATGGCAAATATAAAAATGTCTCTTCTGTAAATTCTTGCATATAGAGTTATATAAGATTTGCCTTCTGTTTGAATTCTTCTATGTCGCTGGAAGTTTCTCGATGGTGAAAATGTGTTCCCACCTCCCTCACATGTGTAAGGTCTCTATCCTGTGTGATTTCTTCGAGTTCACTGAGGTGGCTTGGGTGTTTAAAAGTTTTCCCACACTCCTTACATTCGTAAGGTGTTTCTGCTGTTTGACTCCATCTAGGTGAACTGAGGTGACTGGAGACTATAAAGGTTTTCCCATAGTCCTGACATTCGTAAGGTCTCTCTCCTGTGTGAGTGCGTTTCTGTATATTGAGGAGACCTGAGCGTGAAAATGTGTTCTCACATTCCTTCCATTCAAAAGGCCTCTCTCCTGTGTGACTTCGTCCATGTGTACTGAGGTCACTTTTGTATGAAAATGTTTTCCCACAAGCCTTGCATTCCTAAGGTCTCTCTTCTGTGTGACATTTTCTATGTTTAGTGAGGCGATCGGGTCGTTTTCACATATGTCTCACATCCATAAGGTCTCTCTCCTGTGTGTGAACTGTTCTATGAATATTGAGTGAACTTGACCATTTGACGGTTTTCCCACATGTCCTTCCATTCATCTTTTCCTGCTCTGTGACTTCTTCCATGTCGACTTAGTTTACAGGGCCGGAGGAAGGTTTTCCCACACTCCTTACATGACAGGTCCTCTCTCCTGTGTGGATTCTTCTTCTATGTGTCGATAGGTCGGAACGGTCCTTAAAGGCTTTACCACATTCCTTGCATTCATAAGGCCTCTCTCCTGTGTGAATTCTCCCATGTCTGTGTAGATTATTTAATTGTGAAAATGTTTTCCCACATTCCTTGCATTCATAAGGCCTCTCTCCTGTGTGGACTCTTCTATGAGTAGTTAAAGTACTCGAATATGAAAAATTTTTGCCACAGTCCTGACACTGATACGGTCTCTCTCCTGTGTGGATTCTTCTATGTGCTAGAAGAATACTTGGCCAATTAAAGGCTTTGCCACAGTCCTGACACTGATAAGGTCTCTCTCCTGTGTGGATTCTTCTATGTGCTAGAAGAATACCTGGCCAATTAAAGGCTTTGCCACAGTCCTGACATTCATAGGGTCTCTCTCCTGTGTGGATTTTTCTATGGTTAAAAAGATTACTTATGTTTGAAAATGTTTTCTCACATTCCTGACATTCATAAGGTCTCTCTCCAGTGTGAATTCTTCTATGGGCCACGAGAACAGATGACTGAGTAAAGGTTTTGCCACAGTCCTGACATTCGTAAGGTCTCTCTCCTGAGTGGATTCTTGTATGTGAAAGGAGATAATTTGAGCATGAAAAGGTTTTCCCACACTCTCTGCACTCATGAGGTCTCTCTCCTGTGTGAATGTGTCTATGTTTATTGAGGGAACTCGAGTGTGTAAATGTTTTGCCGCAGTCCTGACATTCATAGGGTCTCTCTCCTGTGTGGGTTCTTCTATGTCTACAGAGGTGATCTGCACGTGAAAATGTCTTCCCACAGTCCTTGCATTCATGAAGTCTCCCTCCTGTGTGAGTTCTCCTATGTTCACTGCGGTCACTTGGCTGCAGACGTGATTTCTCACTTCTGTTACATCCGTAAGATCTCTGTCCTAAGTGACTTGGTGCATGGACTGTCAGACGAGCAAGTTTAGGGAACGTTTTCTCACACTGCTTACGTTCATAAGGTAGTTTCTCATGTGTATGTGCTGTTGTATGTCTGCTTAGGTCTGAGAAAGAAGTGAAGGCTTCTCCACACGTCTTACACGGATAAGGCCTCTCTGCACTGCCGGGGTTTTTATCTACTGTGACGTCTGAGGTACTAATAAGGGGACAGGAATAAGGAAAGAGCTTGCGACTTTGTAAAGATTCGCAAAGCTTATATGGAAAATGAAAGCCTTTATGGGAAACTAAAGGAAAAGGATTAATATAGGTTTCAGAGCTTTCTGTCCATTCATGCTCTTCTACCATATGGACCCAAAATAAGGAGAAGGTGCAGAAATGTTGCCCACACGTGTGACATCCATAGCTGCTCTCACCAATGGGAGTCCTCAGCAGGTTGACCTCCAGACGATTGCTTGGCCAGCAGGGAAGATGTGGAATTCTGAGGAAGGTTTCCCCAGGCTGGCTGACCTCAAATCCTTCAGAGAGGTGCTCTGCTAAGGGAGTTCTGGTAAAAAAGAGACAGCATGCAACCGTTAAATAAGTATATTCCAACTTACCCATGATAAAACACAACGAAGATACAAGGGTTTTCCCTTACACAGGCTGACATCCATAATCCAACCCAAACACTGTTCCAGGAATTGGTTTCATAAGTCATGAGACTGTGTGATGATGACCGTCACCAAGTTACGGTTTCCGACAAGGTTCTGTTTTAAATCTGCGTGATACTCACCTCAAAACGTACTCCTGCCTTCTTTGTAGATCTTCCCTCCCACGGAATTTTGAAAATTTTCGTGAAGGCTGTGGATGGGGAGTCTTTAAGAATTTCAACCGTGTACAGTCAGGGGATAATGCTTCTCCACTGCCTGCCACAAAAAGAAAACTAAGGGTCGGACTATGACATTCAAGTGCAGCCTTTTACCAGCAGGGACTGAGGAGAGGGCATTTGCTGAGGACAAAGCACAGACAGAAAAAAGGGGAAAAGACAGGCATAGTGTACCAAGGCAAAAGCCAAGGACCTGAGTGTTTATTTTCCTCAGCATATACAGAAAATAGAAGCGTTCCATTCAGAATTCCATTCTGAATTCCCAGAAAATACAAGCATTCCATTCAGAATTCCATTCTGAATTCATTCCATTTTGGATATTCAGCAGACGCAGACTTCTTGATAGACAGCAAACAATCATCTCAAGGACCTGAAAGTAATGTACCTAACAATTATCTCTGACACCTGAGAGAAATGTGTCCTTGGATGTCCAAGAATCAGAACTGGATGGATTTGCTCAGAAAATCCTAACAAGCACGCCAAGAAACTTCTATTTTTCTGTAAACTCTCAAGGACACTAGCTTCTCGTTAATCTGTGCTCTCCACAAACACTCTTTAGTTTCTCATGAAGTAAGACTTCCCAGCTGCTCTCCTGTGCCTTGTGAGTTCTCACAAATGCACCGCGTTTCCGTGAGACACGTGTGCGTCCTTGTCCTGGAAGGTGTTTTCAGCTAACTTCTTGCTGAGAGTTCTCTAAGCAGTATTGGAGACTTACATGCTCACAGTGGACCCAGGCACAGTGCCTTTACAAAATCTCAGAAGAAAACGAAGGAATAGGGGACAGACTGCAGTGAACAAAGACGAGAGCTTTTCAGTTTCAACACTTTTCCAGGAAATAACAAAATCTTCACTAGGAGGCACTTCTGGGAAAATTTAAAGGAATTACAATAGAAAGAGCTTTCCTCTGGAAAGGGCTTTTCCTCAAAGCACACACACTATCACATAGTATACACACATTATTAGGTCATGCATACGTACTATCACACAGTACACAGATGACATGGAAAATGGAAAACAGTATCCATGACAGGAATGCAGACACAGATAGGAACCTGCAACGATCTCTTACATTGTCTCCTCAAGGAAAAACAGATTTCTTTTTTCTTCTTTTTGGTCCACCGAAATGCCACTGTCTCTATATAGGCAAAATATACAGCAAATTCACTACTTCATGGTGGTTCGCGACTCAGGGACCGTAAAGGAGATTTGTTCTCACTGCTCCAAAGACTTTGCCCGGACTTCTGACTCAACAAGTTGATGGGTACATTTATGAGAGTTTCACACCTGAGTCCCTTTAATCCCATGAAGAGAAAATGGCCTGTGACACACAGACTCTCACATCAAAGACTCATTCTCCATATGTGAGGGCCAAGAGCCAAATGAACATGCCTCTATTACAGAACCTTGCATTCCAACTCTTCAGTACAAATTCAAAAACAAAGTTTGTGAATACATCTTGTAGGCACGAAAAAGATTTACAAATATAGACAATGCTATGTTTACCTCACACACTTGATCGTTCTAATGAGAAACTTATACTTGG